GGGAATGTAGGAACCAGAGCTGGGACCATGACATCATTGTATTTTCTTTCCTGGTGTTGCTTAGAGCTATGTTTATCTGAAAACCTCATCCTTGCCTATGTAATTTGAGCTCAGTTTTAGGGATTTAGTGTGTTTTGGAAACCATGTATTAAGAATACGGTTTGTCTATGTAATATTTTCCTATTTTTGTGGCATGTAGACAAAAATGCCAGCACAGGAGTTTTATGTTGAGGGAATAATTCAAATTAATATAACCATCTGTAAATCCTGGTGGAAAGTCCTTTTTGTCAGCAATGCAGAAATACCAGCTAAGAGGGTTTGCCCTTACACTTTTAAAATTCCAGGCCTGCATGTGTCCCAAGGAATTTTAATCTCGCATTTGATTGGAAGGGATTTAAGGATCATAAAAGTCTCTGCTCAGTTTTTGGGGCACACACTGGGGTCTCAGCTGTTCTCTGTGCTGAAGTGTGGCTGCTTTTCTGATTGGGCTGAAATGACCAAGGAGATAATAATGGGATGTTGAATTTAGAGTTGGCTGGGAAACACTGAGGAGCACTGGGAGCTGTGCACCAGCAGACTCTGCTGCATGACAGACAATTCTACTCTGGGTCACACAGGCATAACTGGCTCATTTTGGAAAGACAGGCATCTGATCTCACTGTGGCTTATTGACTTTAATGGAGCTTATTCTTTTAATTTTTACAATGGTGTAAGGGAGAGCAGAGTTTGGCTGGAAGCCATGAAGGTGCTATGATGGCAGATGGAGTGAGTGAAATGTGCAGAATTAAACCCACTGCAGGGAAGGTTCAAGTTTTGTGCTACCCAAACCCTTGTCTGTGAGTCCAGGTTTCTTGTTTTCCAGGGTGACTAGAAGAGAGCCATCCCTCCCTAGAGTGCAGGGCCACATGGAGAAATGAAGAGAGAAATTATTCCTAATTCCTGTTCTTGTTTTCCTACCAGCCCTTTCTCCATGCTGAGCTCTGCCTGTTGATAAAATACTTTCTGTTGTCAAGCACTTCTTGATGAGACCCATGCTTATCCTATCCAGGGTGATAAAGACCAAACAGAAGGAATGGGCAGAGCTGTCATTCCTGTGCAGGAGGCCAACATGTGGCCCCTGGCTCGTGGTGACATGTTCTGAGTGCAGCAGTGAAGGCAGCAGTTGGGGTTTTCAGAGGAGCAGTAGCTGTGGTCCGTAGCAAGAAAAATTTTCTCCCTGGTGCCATTCTCCTGAATTTCCCCCTTTAAACACAGATTAAAGGGGTTTAAAGAGATGATAAAATATGATGTTTTGCTTGTACCTGTAGTAGGAAGAAAGTTATGTGTGGATGCATGAGCAAGTGAGACGGGGGGAAGGTGAGGATCTGACCATGCATGTAATTTCCTAATGATTTTTGTTGCTATTGATATATAAATTCCATTACCACTGCATTGTCTCTCCTCTTCCCTTGTTGCTGGTAGTGTCCTTCACCAGAAGCAGTAGAGCAGGGTATGATCCCTCCTCATCACACCTTATTGCTGGCCCTTTTTGATTTCTTACGCTTCAAAGCCTGGCATAAGCTCTGAATGTGACCTTTAAAATGCATTCGAAAGATGTTAAATCATTATCTGTGACTCTGCTGAGTCTTGTTATCTGTATAAATGCCCAGTAATATCATAGAGTACTATCATTTTGTACATATATTGAATTATCTCTTGCTTTATATTTGGTCTGATGAATTTTAATCCAGCACATGCTGTTAGCTGATCACTATGTTGGGCTTGGACGTGATCTCTGTGTCTTACTGCAAATACAGTGTGTTTGTACTCATTGAACACATTGTAATCCACTCCTACATGTACAACACAGATGTGGATTTCGGGTGTGTGGCACGTGGAGAACAAGGGAAAGCACCTGTAAGAGTGGGCCTTAGCTGCTCTCTGGGCTGTGTTTAATTGGTAGCCTTGCACTTGGAAGAGATTTCCTTTATTTAGCAGTCTTTGCTTATTCCAATTTGTTTTCAACACAGCCTGAATGTAATTGAACAGCTTCTTTTATTTCAATGTAAAAAAAAAAAAAAAAAAAAAAAAAAAAAAAAATTTTGGTTTACATGTCTCCTGAGGATTAGGCAGTGAATTAAAAGCAAGTGGTTTTAGAGAATCACAAATAATGCTTTAACCTCCCTCCCCACTGAAACCAATGAATGATTCTCTAAATAAACAGATTTTTCTTTGTATATGTTGGGCTGGATGAGACAAGAGTCTTTCCCCCAGCTGGACCCCTCCAGCCCGTGGCTGAACCCCAGTGGCATGTGAAAGTTATTGGTGTGTTTGCCAGAGCTCATCCTCTCTAGTAATAGGGAGCTGCTGAATTGCTTCACACATGGGTCGTCCAGTCTTTGGGGGCAGCTTTATTTTAAGTTTCATAAAGAGTTTAGAGCAGGAGAATGCCTCCCTGGCTCTTTGACTATTTTTAGTTAATCTCTGTGACTTCCCTACAGCTCTGCTCCCCTTAATGCAGCTTATACTAATAGGCAGAGACAGTCACTGGGGACGTTAATGACTTGTCTGTTGAGGTCTGTCACTTGCTGGCGACTTACGTAGTCAGGTTGTTGTTTTTCTCCCTGGAGCACGCCAGGATTCTTTATCTGAGCCTCTCTCCTTGTCTCATTGGGATTACAATGGACATTTTAGTTGCAGGTGCACTTCAGGAAACAGAGATTCCTTCATAGCTTGACAGGGTGTGTTTTTGCCTCCTCACACATGCTTTGTAGAGCTACTTGTTGGAGCTGAATTAGAAGAACTTGCTCTTCTGATATGGAAGGACTCTGTTAGGAGAGAACCAAGCAAGCCTTGTATCACGAGGGTTTAAGTCCAAATGGATTATACGGTGGGTGACAAAAATATTGTGAGGAGGAGAGGTGCTGACAGTTTGGATGATACGAGTCTTGTAGCTCCTGTGTTACTGCAGTTCTCTTAAAGGGTCTGTCAACAAAGCTCAGACTTTTGGATGATTTCCCTTCAGTCAGGTTTTCCTTTTACATTAGCCATCACCATGTGCCTTTCGGGAGATCATCTTGGGAAAAATTGGGATGCTCTAACTCATTCACTCTTAAGCCTACTGGATTTTTTTAATGGATAATGCTGATTTTGGTTTTGTTTGTGGTTTGTGCCTGTTTATTTGTTTATTTTTTCTAATGAAGAAGTCAGGGGTGCCTGTCAGAGAGGTTTTGTTCCTGTGAGGAGGATCTTGGGCACCAGGAAGGTGCTGAAGAAAATTGTCATGGGTGAGCAAACTACTTCCTACAGTGTCTGGTTTTGGTCTATGTTGCCACAGTAACTTCCAGTCCTGCTGCCCACTTAACACTGCTTAATTTGATTGCAAAGACCAGACCTTCAAGGAGAGACTTTAAGCTGTGCTTATGGGAGACTGCTGAAAGCTGAAACTGGGAGACTGTTGCTAAGTTTCTCCTACTGTCCCACTCAGCAAGCAGGTATTTTACAACTATGCTGTATTTTACAACTCTATAAACCTACAGCAACGCCAAGGCTCTTCTCTCTGGCTCTGAGACCCAGATGAAGTGGATCCACTTAGAGGTCAGCTGTTACGTGTATTCTATGAAGTCTCTTCAAGTTATAACTGGTTGTATCTTACTACAATCAGGTAGCTGATTTTTATCATATCAGACCCATTTTTATCTTTCATCCTTGAAAGACAGTAGAAAAAAACATGGAAGTGATGCAGAATTGATAAAAATTGAGTACAGAGGTTACAGATGCCTTATACTGCATTTGATAGCTGTAAAAGTCCAGAAAATGCAGAATAATACACCTGCTCTAAACCACCTTTTTTCATGGATAAGTGGACTAGTAGCAGTAATGGTTTCGAATTTGCCTGACCTTTAGGGGAGTTTGAATATGAATCCAGACTGGCTTTGAATTAGGCAGTGGAGCTCTTTTTGTTGTGTCTAAGTGTGAACCCAGATCTAAGCCGTAGGACTTTGGTTCTGTGTCTAACCACAGTGGTTGCTACAGAGATGAAGCAACATCTGCAAGAGCAGCTGAGTGATGTGCACCCTCTCAGGTGCTGGAGCGAAGACAAAACACACACGTGCTCTCACCCAGTGATGGAAGTTGAAAAAACAGAAGAAAAGGATTTGGTGACAACTGACAGCCATGGTGTGGCAGTGTCATGGGTCAACTCCAGCCAGCAACCAAGGAGCACACAGGGCCTGGCTCACTCCCACGCCAGTGGGATCAGGGAGAGAACTGGAAGGGTAAAAGCTGGATAAGTCATGGACTGAGATAAAGACAAACTGATAGGGAAAGCAAAAATTGTCCAAGCAAGCAAACCAAAACAAGGAATTGAGTCACTGCTTCCTGTGGGTAGACAGGCATTCAGCCATCTCCAGGAGAGCAGGGCCTCATCACAAGTGATGGTTATTTGGGAAGACAAGCACCATCACTCCAAATGTCCCCACTTTTTCCTGCTTCTTTCCCCCATCTTTATGTACTTAACATGATGCCATATGATCTGGGATATCCCTGTCCTGGCTGTGTCTCCTCCCAACTTCCCATGCAGGCACAACTTTTTTGCCAGTGCAGCAGTGTAAAAAGCAGAAAAGGCCTTGGCTCTGTGTAAGCCCTGATCAGCAATAAAATAACCCCCAAAAAACTCTGTATTATCAACACTGTGCTCAGCACAAATCTAAAACACAACCCTGTACCAGCCACAGTGAAGAAAATTAACTCTACCCCAGCCAAACCCAGCACAGGCACCCTGGGGACCTGGAGGAGAGCAGGTAATTAAAGGGATGCAGTGTTGCCAAGGTACCAGATTTATAGGAGCACTGGGGTAGGATGTATGGGAGGAGAAGTGACAGTGCAAGTGAAGGATAATACAAAATGCAGCAGAGTAAAAGTATCATGGGAAAAGAGAAGTGCTTGTGGGTGGAAATTCCAACTCTAATAATAAATGTAGTAGTAGGATTGTACTACAGGAACATTCCCCCCCCCCCCCCCCCCCCCAGGAAATATTAAGTGAGATTAAAGAAGCTGAAAATTTAGGACAGGTATTAATAGAAGGAGATTTCAACTGTCCATACACAGCATGGGTGAGTGCCTCATCAGGATGAGATACAATGAGAAAGTTTTCAATGGAGTAAGTACATAGTTGCTTCCTAGAACAATTAATCCTAAATCCTGCAAGAAAAGATGCTATTTTGGATTTATCCTGAAGTGGTGCCAGGACCAGGAGGATTTAGTGGCAGAGATCACTGATAGGAAGTACAATACAATTAGTTTTAACATCACAGCAGGAAAAAATCAAGGCATGTATGTGGATATTTAGTTTCAAGAGAGGGATAAATATGAGGGTGCAGTTCGAAAAGGGAAGAAAACTGCATGGAGACTGGAGGCTGTTAATAACAGTATCTTAGAAGATTAAAAAAACCCATACAGTTGTCCCCTAAATCACCAGCAGAATCAGTAGGAAGATTAAACAACATATCACAGGACATGACTGGCATCTGAGAAATGGAACTCTTGCTCAAATGAAGAGAATGGGGAAGGCTGTAAAGTCTGTCAGGTCAAGTGTAAAGAGAAAATTGGGTTTTCTGATGAAGCCATGATGCTTTGGGTAGTTGGATGCCACAGGGATGGTGAGGAACTCCAGACAGACCTCATAAAAATGACTGAGTGTCAAAAACGGGCATACAAGCTCCAGTGTAGATAAATGTACAGTAATCCATCAAGGGAAAATTAAACCATGCCTTCATGATGCTAAACTCCAGGACTGGGAGTTGTATCTTGGGGGAGAGATCTCAGAGTCATGGTTGGCAGCTATTTGGGATCATGGGTTCAGGGTGCAGTGGCATTCAAAGCAAGCCCCTTGTGTGTGGCTGGGGAGGGTGCTGAGAACCAGGTGTGTGGTGGTGTATTTGTATTGCTGCTGTAGGTGCACCTGTGCCAGGGCAATGCACATGCAGTTCAGGACAGAGAGAAGATCCAGAGAAAAGCAGCTAAAATGACTGAAAAGATGGAGCAGGTCCTTATGTGAAAATACTTCATGAGCTGGGTTTTCATCCACAAAGCAAAAGGAGAAGGGAGGTGAGGGTATGTTTAAACTAGCAGGTGGTTGGGTTAATACACAGTGATTTAAATCCAACTAAAAGTATCCAGCTGGAAGTAAGAAAGAAAAGAAGATAATTTAGCTAGAAGAAAGTATTTTTTGTACTTGGCAGATAGTCCATGTCCTTTTTATGCTGGAACTGTAGGTACACAGTTTGTGGTCATTGGGAGTGGGGCTGTGGCTGAGCCTCATCCCCAGTGGGCTCAGCTGTGAGAAGCAGGTGAGCAGCACTGACAGCAATGAGCCATGGATGCCCAGGGGCACTGAGCAGCCAGCAAAGGGAACAGAGGGCACACAGGGGCACTGCATGAACCATGAGGGGTACAAAATGTTGGGCTAGAGACAAGAAGGGCAGATACGTTGAGCCTTCTGAAGTGGTGTGGTGTTACTCTATGGTGGTTGAAGCTTTCTCATATTGTATGGTGAGACTGTGCATTGTGGCTGTCTTAACTGTGACATATGGTGTGACAGAGGAGCCCAGTGCTGACTGTGAGTGCTCAGGTGGGGTCTCATGAGACCAGAGGGGCAGAATGACCTCCCTTGACCTGCTGCCCACACTGCTTTTGGTGCAGCTCAGGACATGTTTGGCTCTCTGAGCTGTGAGAGCACAGTGGTGGGCCAGTGACTGAGCTCCTCATCCACCAACACCCCCAACTCCTTCTCCACAGAGCTGCTCTTGATCCATTCTCCAACCAGCCTGTGCTTGTGCTTGGGATTGCCCTGACCCAACTGCAGGACCTCATACCTGGCCTTGTTCAACTTTGTGAGGTTCACACTGGCCCAACTCTCAAGCCTGTCCCTCTGGAAGTTCCCTTCCCTCTGCTGTGTTGAACACACCACAGAGCTTGGTGTCATCAGCAAGCCTGCTGGGGTTGTGCAGGACAATGTCAAATGCATTGTGTAAATCCAGGTAAATGATATCTGTTGCTCTTCCCTTTTCCAACAATGCTGTAACCCCATTGTAAAAGGCAACCAAATTTGTCAGGACTCTGACTGCTGTGAGATGATGGCAGCTGTTGATGCCTTGCAGCATAATTTGCCTTCTCATCAGTTTTACTTTACACATTGACCCCATGCAAATTAAAACGTTGCTGCTTGTATTTCCCTAAGGGACAGAAAGGAAATGAGGATGGAGCTGGTTGGAGTAGGGCTGTGCAAAGAGCCCTATTTATCAATATAAGAAGGGCAGGATGTCTAGGTAGTGTGGAGGTAAATGCTCCAGGTTATGTTGAGATAGTGTGTGGAATGGGTAGAGTGAGAAAGAAGTTCATGGGGAGGGAATCTCAGAGTCCTGGTGTGGAGCTGACTGGGGGAAAGCAGGAGGGTGTATTATGGAGATAATTCTGCTACATTTGAAGAAGCCAGTATGGTAGGAATTTAGGACCATTCATTTCCACGTTAGGTTGTGGTACATACATATCATGTATGAGGTTGTGTAGTAAAAGGACATTAGCTGCTTCCTTAATAAATCAGGATTTTGGTACTTGGCTGATACTGGGTGTTCTAGAGGTTCCTAGAAGAAACTATTTTGATGCTTAGTCAAATCTGGAAAGCAAACATATGAATCCTGCCTAATGCTGAAGCCATGAGAAATCTGCCCACCCCCAAAACTAATTTTAATACAGATAGGAAAGCAATTTCCTTGTGAGAAAGCTCTTAATAGAGTGTGTTGATAGCAAGCAGCCAGGAGAGGGTTGTGGGCTCTGGTGCAGCTAAGCAACCATGCTGGGAAGCAAAAGGAGGCTGTGTTATGAAGGGCTGTGCAATGGCTGGGGCAGGGGTGGGATTTAAGGATGACCAAGACCAAAGGATGGGAGAGACCCCTTTGGCTGGTTGCTGCTCAGCTGGTGGATACCTCAGGGGTTGCTTTTCACATAAAGCAGAGGTGGTGCACTCCTGGCCATTGCTGGTGTGGTGTTGGGGTAATCTTGGAGTTCCTAGGCCAGCCATTGCAAGAGGGAAAGGTGTGGTTGTGCCTGCATTGTGATCAGTGTTACAGCGCTCTGAAACGTGTTTTCAGGCAAGAGGCATTTAATTTCCCACTTGTCTGTCCCTGTGTTTGATTAGAGGATTTATAGTCCACCAGGCCAAGCAGGCAGGGATGGAGGGCCTCCAGGAAACTCAGCGTTTTCCCTTGGCTTCCCCTGTTGTTTTTACTTTCTTTCTCTCAGTTTGCAGTAATTTTTATTGGCAGACCTCACTCCCTGCGATGGCTGAAATGCTGAGGTTGGGGATAACCTTAGAATCCGTAGGAGCCCAAATTGGATGTTCACATCTCCATTGAGGGGGCGGGAGCCTCCTAACTCCCTGTAACCTGTGTGGTGTGGCTGACCTTGGACTTCAGCTCTGTGGTATTTGGCTGCCTGTAGCTCTTTGTCAGCTGTCTGGTTTTCAGTGGAAGCCCTCCTGTAAAAGTCAGCTTGCTCATAATAAATTAATGAGTCATGCAAGCATGGAATTTCTTTCTGCCTTACCTTAGGATCAGGTTGTTACATAAGCAAACTCCACAACTTTCCCAGATGAGGTTTGCTCTGGCATCTCTTCTCTCATGGGAACCTTCAGGTTTTTCTGGCTTCTCTGAGCTGCTCTGAGAAATGCAGACAAAATACATCTCCTGTGGGTGCAGAGGGTATCTTTGTGTGCTGCTGCTGGCTCCTGCGTGGACCTCTACACAGCCCAGAACAGGGATGCTCCATTGTGCCCCTGTGAATCAGTCTGTGAGCTGTGAGTGGATGAACCCTGTGGTGGGTGCCTCTCATCCCACGATGGGAATCACACCAGGGTCTGCTGCTCTCCAGGATGTGTCATGGTGTCTCTATTTTGGGAAACAGTTGTACGAAGGAGAGTTTGAAGATTGCAGTGTGCATCGAATCTAGGACGTGTGTGTGGCTCTGACAGGGAGATGGAGGCTGATTTGCTTTTCAGTGTGGGGATGATGTCCTCTGCTCATCCCTGGAGCTGTTCCCATGCAAAGCCCCACCCTATTTCCTGGGGCCATCCCACCCTGACTTTGTGGAGAGCTCTAGACCACTTTAAACACAGGCGTGGAACAGTGTAACCCCTCATCTCCTAATCATGTCCTAACCTTGGGGAAGGATTGTCACCCTCCAGAAAGCAGTGTGTCACAGTATTATTTCTATGTAGAGTCTTACATTGTGGATGCTTCTTACTCATCTAACTTCACTTTTGGGCACAGTCCTGCCATTATATTTCCAACCCAATTTTTGCTTAACTTTGTAAGCTGGTAATGGCCCCACCATGAATTCATTTGGACACAGTGAGAAAAGGTCTCATGGAACTGCAGATTTCACCTAAGCTGGGGGCAACAACATAAATCCATAGGATTTACACTCTGAAATCCTGCGGGTGATACAGCAAATCTATGTTTCTTTATGCCTTGGTGCCCAGACTGTAAAATTAAATGGTGCTTCTGGTCCAGGTGCAGTGAGTAGGGAGCTGTTTAAGTAATTGGTATTCTCTTAAGACTATACAGGAGCTGCAGGCAGAGAGACAGAATTGGAAATATGATCATAGTATCTAGAATTGTATCTGATGACTACACTCATCCCAGACTATGTACAACACTTGCTTTGTCTGTCACAGGTGTTATCCTGCTTATCTCTAGGTTGTGGCAAGAGATGTAAAGCTTATGGGAAGCCAAGGACAGTTTAATTAGCCAAATTTTAATGACCCAAACTTGGTTTCTCCAAGACAGGAGAGACTTGTGCCAGCCCGTGTGGCACTCCCACTGTGGAGCTGAGCAGATTTTCACTAAACCAGAAACTTGGAATGTGCTTTCAGTAAAGAAAATGTTAGTAATCTTGGAAGAAGATTATTTTCTGCCCTTTTTAGAAACAGAAATTCAGCAATACTGTTCGGTGCAACACAAGTTTTGTCTTGCCAAGCCTGAGCTTTCAGCTCAATTCCCCAGCCCTGGAGTTTGATGTGGGAAATGGACACAGAATAGTCTCCATCACTCTGTATTTGATGCTGCTGACTCTTGCCTTTGCTGAATCCCAGTGGCACATCTGGCACACCTTCACCTGAATGGTGGTTCATAAGATCAGGTCTCTGGGGATGGATGTATTTCATTAGTGAAAAGGCAGCAGTATTTCCAAAGGGAGAAGAATCTCCAGAGACCCCTCTGCCAGTTCACCGAGGTATGTTTTAACTCCAGCTCCAACTTGGCCTTGGCCCCCTAACATGAGATTTCTTTGCTGAACTTCTTAAAAGCCAGATTAAAATCTCTAGCAGAGGTCATTTAGAAAACAGTGAGAGAATTATAAGCAATACTTGTTTTCCTTTCAATCCTCAAAGCAATCCAGGGAATGTGTTTGGAGTCAGTTTCTGAATTTAACCCTCTCATCCTCAGGGAAAATAATTCCGTGTGCTGCCCTCGTGCCTGGCATGGTGCTGACTTCCCAAGCCATGCTGATTTTCTGGAGCACACAGGAGGGTTTGTGTTGTGTGGGGGTTATGCCACGAGGAGAGGGTGACTAAACCTGATGGGTTTGCAGTTATATAAATTGGCATCAGCCCATACTGCTGTGTGCTCAGCACAGGGATGACTCAGAGGCAGGAGCTGCCTGTTGGGGATTGACAGCCCAGGGCAAAGCTGATGGATCCTCTGGGTCTCCTTGGGTGCCCCCTCATCTGCCAGGGGTGGTGGGGGTGCCAGCTTCTCCCTCTTTAGGGAACAGGGAGCGTTAGTACTGAGCCTCTGGGGTGGCAAGCAAGTCAAAAAGTGAGTCAGCATTAGGTGGAAATCCAATGTTGTGTATATGGGCTGTTGAAATCCAAAAGAGCTGGTAGGAAAATGAGCCTGTCTCTGCATGGTGGTGAGTCCACTGCTGCCTGTGGGAGGTGGGATCATGTGTAGATGCAATGATAAAGGATGGACTAGAACTGGAACTCAGCTGTGAGCCCCCTTAAGCCTAGGAACCAGCCCAAAAGCTTGGAGCACCTTGTGTTCGACAAGGAGATGCCTATTGACTTAATCCTAAAACCAGCTGTATCAATTGCATCCTGTCCATAGAAAGTTGTGCAAAACAGCCTCTTTATTTTTTTCTTTTTGCAAAGACAAGTCTTAGTACATTTTACTCCTTAGTTTGTTCATACTCTAAATTAGTATGCACTGGTGTTCTAAAATGGGAAACCAACTCCATCAGAATCTCGTAAGGCAAAAGAATTCTTTGTACCACTGAGAAAGATTGTGCTGGTAAGACTCCTTTCTATCAAGAAGGGAAAAATAAAAGAAAACCAGAGAATGTTTTACCTGGGACTTGTGTTCTTTTATGGCAATCATCAATATTCAGAACTCACGCCTCCAAAACCATAAGATCTAAAAAAAGTTTAAAAATTACGAATTTTTATTATTCAAATTAACCTTCTAGGTTATGGAACTTAGATTTCTGTGCTTGAATTTTCTTTTTTTCAGAGGGGATCAGGAGTTTGAAAAAAATCCCACTTTCCCCCACCCTGCTTAGAAAGCTTTGTTGGAAGGCTGACTCTGGGAGTCAGTGTTTGGAAAAGGACCAGGAATCACAGGAGTGGGCACTGCCTCAAATCCCCTGCTAATAAACACACCAACTGAAGCCAGGTGGTAAAAGTGCATTTTTATCATGTTTTATGCAGATTAATGATTCCAATAAGCATTTTTCTTCTTTATGTATGTTCAGGGCAGCATTTGTGCAACATCTAAGAAAATGTAGTGAGCTTTCTCTGGCTTTCTCAGTGCTGCACTCAAAGACTGGCTTTGTCAGATCTGCCTCAACCTCTTCTCATATTTGCCATTTGTATGAGCCACAAGACTGCAGTAAGACAGTGGTTGCTGATCCCTGAGGGGTCTGGTTTTCCCTTGGTGTGTCTGTGGCTCCTTCCACCATAACAGAGTTATTTGTGCATTTGGAGGGAATTAGTTAATGACCTGTGATGCTCAATCCACAGGGCCACAGATTGTCTCTGTGACAGCCACACTTTCTGGAGTGCTTTTGTCTTGATTAAGTTTTGGTGTGTGGTAAAAACAAATGTTACTGCCCTCATTTCAAGATGAGAAACCTGAACTGTTGCCTGTTTGTTGGGTAAATAATGTGAGATGCTGCAGAGTAGGTAATTTATTGTATAGTTGGGGTGCTGTGGTTCAACAAGACCCCTCCTCAGCCGTGCTCTTGGAGGGGCTGTGGTGACCTCTTAACCTGGGCAGCTGCTGGGAAATGGGCTTAGCCTCAGAGGAGAGGTAATTAAGCTGGCACAGGTGAGATTATGTGTGCACACATTTCCCACGACTTAGTGAACTTGTCTGTAACATTTCTAAGCTTCTGATGCTGGATGTGGGCACTGGCCTGGTGATCTGCTCAGGTCCATGAGGTTGGGACTCAGGCCCCACCACATGCCCAAGTCTTCCCAAAGCTGTCAGGAATATTAGGAGCAGTTCTGGAGGGAGAACAGGGCAGCCTGAAGGCTTTGCTAAGCCCTTGCTTTGTCAAGGAGCTTCCCTGGCTGTTGTGCAGAATCTGTGCTGGTATTTATACCTGTGGCCATTGTGCTGTGTGCTCTGGTTTTCCATCAGCTCAAGAGAAGCCCTCATCCCAGGGCTCAATCTGGGGGTGGTATACAGTGTCTGGGAGTGACTCATGCAGCTGCTGTGTGGCACATCTAGTCCTCTCCAGATGTAAAATTAAACACATGCTTTTAATGTTATCTTGACCTAGACTAATGTTGCTATTTCAGGGTTTTATGTCAGAGGCACAAAAAACCTGGAAATCACTGATGGAAAAGACCTATTAGATCATCCCTTCCATCCACAGGGTTGTTCCCTGCAAAATATTCTCCATCATTTTGTCCAAAGCAGTCAAAATTTACTCAAGTGAGAGGGTTCCCAACGCTTCTCCAGGGGAACTCTTACATCTTCCAGGATGCCAGGGAGGATTCATTCATCCCCAGGCTACAGTCCAAAGTTAATTTTACCTCATTTAAACCTCTCTCCCAAGTTCAAGTCCCCAAGACTGGTCCTGCTCTTCCTGCTGTTCATACCCAGCACTGTACAGGGAGGTGAACACAGGCTGCTCAGCCACCTGTAATAGGGTGAATTTGCAATCAACCTTCAAATAATTCCCCAGGGCCTCTCCAGCTGTACCCCTGTCACAAGGGTGGTGTAGGATGGAAAGCCTCATATCCCAGGGCTGCATTTCCTCCATCCCTCTGAGGCACAAACTCCCCACAGGGAATTTTTTTGTTTTGTTGAAATGTCTCCTTTGCTGCTTCATGGGATATACACACCCAGACTGAGAGCCCAGCTGTATTTATTTTTAAAGGAAAAGACAAAATTCCCACTGAATGGGAGAGGGCTGCTGCAAAGTGGGTGGTGGCTACCTGATGGACAAGAGCTGGATTAGACCATGTAGATTTGGCTATGTATTTGGGCTGCTGGGAACACCACCTCTTCCATCAAACCTTATTTCTGAGATGTTGCAGGCTGCTAACAACCTCTGCTAACAAGTGCTCTAACATCACCAAGACATCTATTTTTAATATAAAATGCAGTTGCAAAAAAAAGAGGTCCCCACATAACAGATTTTGCAGATAAATTGGAAAAGAAAATAATCTCTGTCTGCAGGGCAGGGACTGTGTGTGCCAGCTCCCTGCTTTGGCCCAGCTCTGTGTCCCATGTCACCCTCACATCCCCTGGGAGTGGAAATGGAAACCTCTGCTCTGAGCTCTGGCAGTACAAGTGGATACCAGGGGAATGTTTTTGCCAGTACTTAGCAGGAGCCAGTTCTTGCTTGCCTGCAGCAGTTAAACTCATGAGTGCTCTGAGCCTGCACAGCCCCCCTGGCACTAGCTGAATAGGTGTTTGTGGTTGGTTTGGGGTTTTTTTTTGCACCGGGGTAATTTTCTTCTAGGGCTTCTAAGCACTCATCTGTGAAACATGAAATTGCCTGACCCTGAAGCTCATCCCTGGATTGGTGAGATCCATAAGCTTGAAAAGAACAATATTTCCTTTCTTTTTTACTCAGAGGAGTCCTCAAACTGCAGTCACTCAGCAGACAGCAATTTTCAGCTGTCTTTCCTTTATGTTTTCAGTAGGATATGAAAGTGTAAATTTACAGCCAAGGATCACAAAATGATGCCTCGCTCTGTGATCTTTCCTGAGCAAGCTCTATGTAGACAACACAGCTGTCCCTCTGAGGAGCTGCAGTATAAATGGCTGCCCTGGAGGACCCATCCAAGATGCCTGGGATGGCTCCAGGCTGCACACAAGGGATGTGACAGGACAGGCTGTTCAGTGCCATCACCTGGGGATATCTCACCTGACAGAGATCCTAGGAAAACTGAGATCCCAGAGCTTTGCCAGGGCTGGTGCAGACCCTCTCAAACATTACAGGATACAGGTGCACAAGTGGAAGGAGAGAGGAAAAGGTCCTCAAGGAGAACTTTGATTCATTTTGAGCTTGTGCTAGGGGACAGAGCTGAAGAGTGAAAAAACAACCTTTTGCTCCTCCTAAAAATTCTAGTATTTTTACTGAAATCTGCTTGACCTGGCTCCAATCCCCATGGTGTAGCTCTACCTTCCTCCCATACAGCTGCCTCCTACTAGCCATATTCCCCCAGATCACTTCCATTAATCTTTCCATATTCATCTGACCTTCTGATGTCTCATTTATTTTTCTCTGTTTGCATTTATTTGCTTTGCAAATCCCTCAGGCCAGAAGCTGTCTCTATAAAGTGTATGGTGATTGTCCAGTAGAATTTCAGGGTGTAATTTAAGTCCACAAAAAATGGCAGTTCCAATCATATAGCCTGCTTTTACAGGTTGCTCTCCATGTGACTTGAGCCGACTTTTAAAATCAAAGTTAACTTCTATAACAAAATAATATAAACATCAGGTCTCATCAGAATTTGACTCTGTAATAACCAGAAAATGTGGGAAAATATGCAAAATTTATGTTCTTCACATCAAGCACAAACACTTGAAGCATTCTGGGTTATTTGTCATCATTGCCAGGCTCTACGGTGCCTGCATCTACTTCTTACCTCCCACAAGAGCTGCTTTCAGAGTAACCAGCCTGAGTCATTAGTGTCCTTAGCTGCAAATTTTGCTCTTTGAGCTTCAAGCTGCTTCTTTGCGTGGTGCGTTTGTGCCGACCCACTGGGGCGTGGATCATTCATTTTATCGACACACCCACGGGACAAAGGGCTGAGTGGAAGCCAGCCTGGGGCTGGGATATCGAACTTTTTGTCTCTGGAATCGTTGTGGCATGCCCTAGGCTGGCAGGGGACAGCAGCCAAGCCATCCCACGCCGGTGGCCTTTGTGTAGTGATTTGGAGGTCACGGCTCTGCTCGGAGCAGCCGTGTGTCCGTGCTGCAGGAAATTCACCGGAGGGATGTATGGAAGACACTCTACTGCTGTTGGCCACCCAGCAGGGCAGCACGGGGCCTTGTCTCTGGGGGATAATGGGTCTGGTTCTCTCTCCTGTGCCCTGCTGACAGGCCCACTGCCTGCAGAACAGTGCAGACAGACTTTTGCCACGGCATCATAAATTCTGGACCAATTATTCCTGTTCTACTCATGGAAAATGCAGAGAAATCAAGCGCCGGACCAAAACCCTTCTCATTTCCTACATTGCATCATTTCCAACTAACAGTGGAACTATGAAATCTCTTGAGTTTTATTATAAAATTACTAAACAGTCAAGAGGCTGAATCCTTTCTTTAAGTGGAAGCCTCAGTGCAGCCTCATCTCTAAAGCTGCTCTCCACTTCTGCAATTACCCATTTACAGTAAACAGGAGAATGTGATACAGCGGCCTCACAGACACGTGGCTCTCATTGGCAGCACAGTAGACTAAGCTCAGAATTTGGTCTGCTTTTGGAAGTTCTCTGCAACAGTGCAGAGGAGATGGTCAGCCATGGAGAAAAGGGAGGATTTCCAGCATGACATTCTTGCACACCAGTGGCCTGTACAGATGATTAATAACAATAACACAGCAGTTCTGGTTGGCAGGAACTCTTCAGCTTTGGCACATAAGTGCCAAGAACTGAGTATATTGTGTGGGTACAAAATCGAGTTGTAGCTCTGCTGCTCCAGGGTGTGAAAGAGGCAAAAGGCTTGTCAGAACAAACCACAACTTCTTTGAAGCCTAAATCTTTCTTTAACAATTCATCCAAAACCTCATTGTTTAAAGCAGGCATATTTTATAAAGGTTGAAGGCACAGACTGAGTGCTAGAAAATTTTAGCTTCTGTTTCTTGCAGTGATTCCTTACATTCCTGTCCAAAAAATATGACTGCTGAAGATCTCCATTTCCATACCAGTAAAACGGGGACCACAACATCTCTTAGTCACAGCAGGATTATGAGCTTGAATGAATGAATATCTTGAGGTGCTCGGGTGGTAGGTGCAAAGTCTTTCTGTAACAGCTCACCATTCCAGCTAGAGAACAGTTTTGCATGGTGGATGCCAAGGTTAGAAAGGTGTGAAGCCAATTTAACTTCCAAATTCTGCGGGCCTTGGTGCATCATCAGAAAATCTGTGAATTCCTGCCCTTGCTGCTGAGTGGTCAATCAGGATCTGACTCTTCCATGCTCTTGTTGAAACCAATCAGACTGTGCGCATAATAATGCACTGCTGCTCAGAAATCATGGTAGACCTAGGTTCTGGGAATTATTCTTTGTCCTAGACATCTTGAAAGACAAAAAATAATTCCTTAGCCTTTATCAACAGGAACTCTTTTTCTGGGAGAACCTCTTACTTGCTGATTGAAAGCTTTTTACCCTACAAAAAATAGCAACCTCATCAGGAGTTGTGGAGTTCAGCACAGTGTTAGCACTGCAGTGAAAGCTCTTTTGCGGTTTGAAAGTTGAGTTATTCACTGGGCCCACGTGTTTATGATGACTAATTTCCCACTCTTATCTAAGAGTTACTTAATCTAAGAATTCCCAGTGGGATAAACGGAATAGGAGTGAGGGCAACAGTGTGCAGTTGTCAAGGTGAAAAGAGAGAAAATACCCACATATTGTACTAGGCAAACTCTTAAAAATGTTCTGGCTTTGCCAGGAAAGATAAGGGACCTTCTGTAGCTGTAAAGTTTCATGAAAGAAACTGTAAGTGGTACAAAAGTTGGGAAAATGGTCATACACTGTGTTTTGGGAATGGTCTCCAGCCTGGGGCATTGCTGCTTCATGCCCCTAGCACTGCTCAGTCTTAGTGACACAGACACTGCCGGCCTCAGTTCCCTCTGAGGAATGGCAGTAAAACATGTCCCCATATCCTTTGGGATGCTGGGCTGGTGGATGAAGACTTCTACACACCTCTGACCATGGATTTTCAGGGATCTAAGGCAACAAGTGTGTTTCTGGATATTGGTCTTCTCCCCCAAATCCATTGCATCCCACTTGGGAGGAGTAGGGAACCACAGCGAAAATGTGACCTACTCATACAAACAACTCTTGATTCCAGCTCTGAGGGGTGTGAAGCTGTGAAAGAGAATGCTACAGCTCAGGATTCATTATTTTGAAGGCACGTGGGAGTTGTCCTTCAAACTGCTGCTTCTTTTGATGGATACAAATGAATTACCCCGAGCTCGTGACTTGCTGAAAACTCTCGCTCCAGCAGAATCCTCAGGGATTCCTGAATCAACTTTTGAATTAAGCAGGGGAGCAGGGTCTGATATTGTGCCTCTCATTGATCAGGTTAGACACTGCCTTTGTTTCACTCCTGACTCTTTAAAATGGATTAAGATTGTAAAACTTGTGTTCCTGGAGCAAGTCACGTCGATAACTGCGTTTGTGTGGGAATGCAGGGCTGAATACGGGTTTTTCTGTAGAAAGCTGAATATTTTAGCTCAAGAGCCACAGACGAAATGTAGCAGCCTCATTTAAATCTGCAGAGGCCCAATATTAGCTACAAGACTGCTTGGTGTTACACCACAGCTCTGAATAGATGTACTTTTATAGAATACCTCACGCTGAAAAGCTAATTAATCGGAGAACAGTTATCACATTACTAGCCTGACTGAATTTCTTTTTTTTGTGGAAAAATGTGTGTTTAAAAGTCTAAATGCTCCTATTACAATGATTAATTATCTGCAGAAAATTGAAAGCACACAAGAAATTATCAAGAGAGAACATTTAGACATCATCTGTCTTCCTAAAAACACTTGTCTGAGTGTATAAAGAAGAATATTATTGCAGTGTAGATGCTGGCTACTTAGGACATATTTTTTCTGCCTTCTCTTTAAGTTTATTCTTGCTACAAATTTTTTTTTTTTTAATATATCGTGCCTAAATGGATAGAAGATATATTGAATTTTTTAACTGGAGTGGTTCTCTGGAGAAGACTGATTTTCCTGCTGCTTCAGATGCGGTTTAATTTTTGTGTTACTTATGAAATAATGAGAAATAGACTTTAATGGGGAGAAGCAATGGCACAGAGCAGTGGTGATGTCGCAGAGTGGGTCACCAAGGAGCCTCACCTGGGGTTATTTATGAGCTGTGACGGCGTCTCAGGGATTGCAGTTTGGAGAAGGAAACACTGCCAAAGCCAGAACCAGTGGAGCAGACACCCAGCCACCTATAAATCTGTGTACTCTCACTCCTTATTAGCTGAGGGTCATGGCTTATTAATTATATGTGACTTGGTGATAACATATCTCATAAAAAAAGAAAGCAGCATGTAGTGAAACTTGATGGCTTTACATTAGGCGAGATGGAGATGGGTCTTTTGCAACTCAGTGTGGGGTTAGAAGAGTAAAATTTACTCCTGCTTAGAGGATTGTACAAATGGAACGTCCATGAACATCCATGTTGAACATCCGTGTTTTTTAAATAGAAAATCAGCAATTGATTAGGCCTGTACCAGTCATTTCTAACAGATTGAAAATTACAGGAGGGAAATAAACAGCAACTGGTTCTTTCTTCTTAGGAAACCAAGAAAACCAAAACAAGAAATGGACCAAAGGAATCCCAGGCAAAGGAAAAAAAAACAAAACAAAACAAAAAAAAAAGAACAGTTATGTAAATTACACAGGGTGCTCAGACAAAACCCCAAAAAGCCAAATTTTCCTGGCTGACATAAGGCAGTACTCACACTGCAAGCATTACCTCCTGATGAAGAGCAGAGAGCAACAGCAGTTTGCACCATCACTGGCCCAGTGTGCAATAGGGAGCAAGGGGATTGAAGCACAGCTTGAGAACAGCTCCACTCGTTTAAGCCAGCCTTGCCCAGTGTGCCACTCTCAGAACTCTGTAAAACTTCTGTCCACTAAAATCTTTGGCTCATTGCACAGAGCTCGATATCAGAGTCTGAATTAAATCCATTTATAGTAGCTTTGGAGGAGATCAGGGCTGGCTAGAATGCCCATAGCAAAGAAATGGAATGTTAATAGCCATCCCAGTGAGGTCTGTGCAAACAGAAAAAAAAATAACAGTGAAATGAAAAATAAAGCACCTATTTCTCCTGCTTTTTACATGTAAGAAGTCCTAGGTTCAGCCCTGAACTGATCCTTATATATGCTCTCAGAATCAAGGATCTGAGTCATGTGTCTGAGCGTGGCAAGATCAAGTGAAATTTATTCTTAGGATGAATATTATCTTTCGTTTTTGAAACATTTTCAAGAATAAGATTAAGACTTCTGTTGCCTTGGTATAACTTTCAAACCAGGAGCTCCCCTAGTGTTCTCAATGCCTCCATCCAGCATTGTCAGAGATGCTTATACATAAAATAATGAAAAGAAGAAAGAGAAGTCAGTGTTCAGACACATTAGTGGTCACACATAAAAGAGTAAGGGGATTTTATGAAATACTCTCACTTTTTTTTTCTCCTAATCCTTCAGAAAGATTGTGCTGATGCCAGTAATAAATAGAAACCAGCT